TTCCTTTGGAGAAGCTTATAATCAAGAAAGACCTGCAACAAATCCGCAGAGGAGAGAGAAGGCTAGTAAAATATTGTCGAACTAGTATACAATTTCACTGTTAATTCATGACCTCAAATCGAAACAGTTTAATGATGATGAAATTGTATAAAATTATAAGGTTATCAATTAAAGAACTAGGTGGAGATAGTTCTCCTTCTCGTTTTCTTAATGTCTATGGGCGAGGTATTTTAGGAGTGTTTCCTGTCTTCTTTCATTTCAAAACAAAATTGCCTATTGTACTAAATGACCTATTTAACCTAATCAATTGAGCTCAACCTTTCATTATGCAGCCATGTTGTTTTAGTCTTTGGTTCAGTAGAAAGCTCCTTCGTCTTTATCATACTGATAAGCTTTCTGCATTGGCCGAAAGCAACAGATTTGGAGGAATTGTAAAACCGTCACAAGGTGTTCCAAACAATTCTAGAACATTCTTAGAAGCTTTTTTCATACGAAATACGTTAATATAACTTATAAAACTTATTGCAGTTGTAGACGTATTTTTTTCTACTCATTTTCGGAAGTTAGATTAAAAAAAAAATTATTCAATTGTATTTTTGAACCGTTTATTTGATAAATGTTAATCTAATATGTTTCTCCATGTTGTAAGTCAGAGATAATTATACAAATGAGTAATTTATTAAAATACACATTTTCAGGTTTTCGGATATTTAATTTTTCCACTGTAAATGCGAACCATTACTCTAAGTTAAAGAAAAACTTACATAAGCATTTAAGGATCCCACCGTGGAGTAATAATGAGCAAACAGTTCTTGTAGACGAGTATTAGAGTGTTTAATCCTAATTGGGGACACACTTGCCCTAGCTTTATGCGAAATTATGTTTATTAATTAACTATGGACAGATATAAATATAGATTTATTCATTCAGTGGCGGAAGCATCACAATGTAGGAGGGTTTTTCTTCCAATGTTACTAGAGAAATTCATGTGACAATTGGTACTATGAACGGAGGGATGTCTTTCAGTATTTCAGAAGTATACTTTTTTGTCTCTATAGAAAAGATGAATGGTGTTGCCAACAAGATAACCAGCCTAAACATAAGGCTAAACTTACACAGAAACGACTCACCAAGAAAAGCTCAGAGGGAACTTGTGGCAGAGCGTATCGCCACATCTAAAGTCAATTGAGAATTTATGGTGAAAATTGAAAATCTTCAAATTCGTTTGAAGAGCCCGCCAAATATTAATAACTTGGAGGTTATTTGTAAAAAAGACTGGGCTAGAATTCAACGCAAAGTTATCAAGCACTACCAGATGGCAATGGCAAACTTCAAGAATGGCATCGTAATGAAATATTATTTTAAGATAACTGATTTGTACGAAAACATTTTTCCTTTGCCTAGTCTTGATTTTTTTTTAAATTGTCTTTTTGATACGTTTATTTCATAATTGTTAATTTATTGTTAATGAAAAATTAACGTAATTATACGGAGGGGGAAGTTTATTAAGATAAAATTTCTCATGTGTACGAATATTTATTTCCACCTACTGTATGCGATTAGTTACAATAATAAACTAAAAAAACTACAGAAATACACTACAGTTCAAAAGTTTGAGGAAAACCCTTATAATTTTTAAAATTGCCCCAAAAGTAGTTGTTTTGAACATTAAATAAGAGAAAATTGTTATACATGATTAAAAAAGTGAGACATGACTTTTTATTTAAAATTATATTTATGAAAAAAAGATTTTATGTTTAAATTTTGCACTTGTCAAAATAACCTTCTTTACCCATGAGCTGCACAAATTATCATTAGCAACACAAAATACCTTCCTTTACCTTTGTGCAGCACAAATTATCATTAGCAACACAAAATATCCTCCTTTAGACTTGGACAGCGCAAATTATCATTAGCAGCATAAAAATTGATCAAAAATTATCATTAGCAACAAAATACCCTCCATTAGAGTTGCACAAATTATCATTAAATTTAAAAAAAATATCCTTTAACCTTGAGCAGAACAAATTATCATTAGCAGCATAAAATATCATTTTTTTTATCATTAGCAACACAAAATATCCTCCTTTAACCAGTTCAAATTGTCATTTGCAACACAAAATTCCTCTTTTAGCCTTTAGGATCACAAATTATTATTAGCAGCACCAAATATCCTCCTTTAGCCTTTAGCAGCACACAGTATGTTTAACAGCACAAAATATCATTTAGCCTTGAGCTGCACAAATTATCATTAGTTACACAAATTATCATTGGCAGTACTAAATATCATCCTTTAGCCTTGAGCAACAAAAATTATCATTAAAACACAAAATAACATCCTTTCCTCTTGAGCAGCACAAATTATCATTAGCAACACAAAATATTCTTCTTTAGCCTTGCGCGGCACACTATGCTTAACAGCACAAAATATTCTCCTTTAGACTTGTGCAGCACAAATTATCATTAGCTGCCCAAATTATCATTGGCAGCACCAAATGTCCTCCTTTAGCTTTGAGCAGCAAAAATTATCATTAGCAACACAAAATGTCCTCTTACAGCCTTGAGCATCACAAAGTATTATTAGCAACACAAAATATTCTCCCTTGGCCTTGAGCAACAAAAATTATCATTAAAACATAGAATAACAACCTTTAGCCTTGAGCAGCACAAATTATAATTAGCAGCTCCAAATATCGCCCTTTAGCCTTGAGCAGCACACATTATGCTTAACAGCACAGAATATCCTCTTTTAGTCTTTGGCAGCGCAAATTATCATTGGCAGCACCAAATATCCTTTTTAGCCTTGAGCAGCAGAAATTCTCCTGAGGAACACAAAATATCCTCCTTTTGCCTTTAGCAACACACAATTTTTAGCATTCGTTGTATAAGTTTGATAATTGATTCCATTCTTTTTTCAATCAGTCTATGAGCACTTTTTCATTTTTTGACTCTTCTGTGAAGTTCATCCCATGCTAATTCTGGGGCTTGAAACTTTTGAAATGTAGTGTAGGTATGCGCGCTGTTTCTTTAAAATTTACAATGATCTTCTATTTTTATTACTTTGACTTTATTCCACTGATCTTGAAAAAGAAAAACAGATGAACGTTTATGTTTGTAGTGTAGCTTTATTTAATATAATTTGACTAGAGCTCATGAAAGAGGTTCGACCATTTCTTTTATAGTCAAATAGTTTGAAGGGGAGACAACTATGGTTCCCTTTTTCCACTATGTATTCGATTTAATTTTTTGCTAGTTACTTTTTTCCTAAAATCAATTAATTTCTCAGCATCTGTCTATATTCCTCATATGAGGTATTGTGTACATTATTTACATTATTCGGACTATTGTCCTCATCTTTGTCGCCATATTTATTACAATGTTTCGGCCTTTCAGTATCTGTCTATATTCCTGAGATGAGGTATTATGTACATTATTTACATTATTCGGACTATTGTCCTCATCTTTGTCGCCATATTTATTACAATGTTTCGGCCTTTCAGTATCTGTCTATATTCCTGAGATGAGGTATTATGTACACTATTTACATTATTCGGACTATTGTCCTCATCTTTGTCGCCATATTTATTAAAACGTTTCGGCTGTTGTACGCTTCGGCCTTCTTCAGTGTGCCACTTTATCCACTATGCCATGTGTAGTTAAGGACACATGGAACAGTGGATAAAGGCGTTAGTTAGATCCAGTGACAGGACCCAAAGAGTGTGAGTTCAATACCCAGTTAAGGCAGTGGAGAACTTTAAGAGGGAAAATTAACAGAAGATAACTGATAACTGACATCCATTAAAACATGGCACATGGAACTAGAACAGTCTACCGCAGTGAGCGAAATAAAGGTTTTATCCACTGTGCCATATGTCCATGAGGACATCTGTGTATGAATTTCTGGCTATTATAAACCTACTGTCTTCAGCAACCATTTTTACTAGTGCTCATCTTCATACACTGTTCGACATTCCAACCACCTAAATAAGGCCGGAGCGTACAACGACCGAAACGTTGTGATAAATATGGCGACAAAGATGAGGGCAATAGTCCGAATAATGTAAATAGTGCGTATTTATATAAGTTATTCGCAGGAGATGTTAAACACTACCATCTTCCAATCTTTCTTTAATTCACCTACTGAAATTCAACAGGGTCTTTTTTTCCCGTGAGAAAAATCCCCGTCTTACGAACATTTCTCTACATAATGATCTAAAATAATTCAGCAGACGATGTTAATTTACTTATGATAAATAGATTTTTGGCGATTGTCTTACTCGGTTTACGTCGTTCAATACTGTACGTTTGAAAAATGGCGTTTTTATCGCGCTCGTCATTGTTCTCGGCCTTTTGGCTAAGATTCGATCACGGCTACGCATAGCTTGGACCGGCTCGGGTCTGGATCAGCTAGAACAAGCCAAAACTAGCTATGATTAGCTTAGACCAGCTATGACCAGCTAAGACCAGCTTGGACCAGCGGCCCTATTGAAAACACTCGTCTCCCCATGTTAAAAACCGATCTTGTGTCACAACCTGACTCAGTGGGGGTCAAGTAAATAAACGGCCTTTTGGCTAGGATCAAAGTGTAGTATCTGATCTCGGGCGGATAAACTTCATTTCATCTTTCAATTGTGTCTGTGTCTTCGGACAGAGCGTGACTGGAAATATTATTAGCCCCTCTCCTCATTGCTCTTATTTCTCATTTCAATATTCTGATGAGGACACTAGTCCGAATAATGTAAATAATGTAATTTCTCAGCTTTTGTAAAAAACAAGAACAACAAAAAATAAACAAAAACAAAAAAAACAACAAAAGACGGATTAATTTTAATGAGTTTTTTGTCTCTCTTGTAGATGTCAATAAAATTTACCAACGAACCACCACAAGGGGTACGAGCAGGTTTAAAGCGAACATATACAGGATTGTCGCAAGACTTTCTGGACGTGACCAACATGCCTCAATGGAAACCAATGCTGTTTACTGTGGCATTTCTTCACAGCGTCGTCCAAGAACGGCGTAAGTTTGGGCCTCTCGGTTGGAACATTCCGTACGAATTCAACACTTCCGATTTCAACGCCAGCATTCAGTTTGTGCAGAACCACTTAGACGATATGGAAATAAAAAGAGTAAGTGATACATTTTATAAGCATCCGCACACAAAAGCCACCGAAAATATATCTACAAAGATTAGAGTATATTTATAATATTTCCTCTATGGTACGTAGACTTTATGAATTTTACCGCAGTACTAGATTGGCGGTAAGGTCTCATAATTTTACAGATATGTGGAGAATTTTTGCCAGGTGCGCAGTGAACCTATGACCACACCTAGACAGGGGACTGATGAAAATAATAAATATTAGAGCAAAAATCAAGGGATCATACGTTCTTACTTGAATTACGTTTTGTTTCAGTAATGTAAATTTTGTATAAATTTTTTTCTGAAGACGCCGGTTTACGGCGAAACCTCAAAATAGTTTTCCCCTTGCCTTACTTATTTACTATATATATATATATATATATATATATATATATATATATATATATATATATATAAAGCGAACATAGAAGTCAACACTTAGAGGCGACAGTCTGTTTCATGCTAGATGCAATTGTCAGGCCTGACGATTGCATCTAGCACGAAACAGTTTGTCGCCCATCTAAATGTTGACTTCTATGTTCACTTTTATATTTATACACGCTTTATATCTCATATTGAGCACTTTATCCCATAAGTATAGCATATCTTAAGACTATATTTTTTCATATATATATATATATATATATATATATATATATATATATATATATATATATATATATATAT